TCAGAAGTCACAGAAACCCATGACTACGTAGTTGTTCAGATGTTTCCTAAAAAAAAAGAAGACACAAAACTGGGACCCCGAAGGATTCCAGACTTCTGAGTTCTGAGCACCGGACACAGGACCAATCAGAAAGCCATGTTCCTATTCCTTCCTTTGAACTTGGCACTTCCAGGACCAATCAGAAACTGCTGTTCTCAGCCTTTCATTTACATACGGGTACAACCAATCAAAAGATATTGTTCTGATCCTCCATTTACATCTGGTGAGGGGACAATTTACATGTGGCAGGAAGTGAGTTTTGATTGGACAGTGCCATATTTACACACGATGGGGGCCAGTACAGACATTTCAGACCCTAAAGACCTCTTTCCCTTTATCTCAGGCCACTGGGCCTGGCTCTGTGCAGCACTCAGCAAACGGAGCTCAGGGAGGAATTGGCCCTCAGGCTGTGGACTCTAGCTTCCACGAAGACATTTTTCAGTTGCAAGGCAGGACAAACAGGTACCCCTATGGGGAGCCCACGGTCAGGCCATCGAATCACAGCGGAACAACTTGTGGTGAGGCTCAGCGTCAGGCAGGTGCCAGGTCGGGCCCAGGTGACAAGGACGTGATCTATCAGCACCACTTGGGAGCGTGCTGCACAAGCAGATCTGGACCCCAGAATCAGTGTCTGCACTTTAGTGAGTGTCCCCAGCAATTTGTGTGTACTCTAGGGCTGGGAAGCCCTGAACCAGATGATTCTATCAGATACGCTTTTCTAAAAGTCAGAGGACGCCCAGTCTGTTGACACTCGGGAAATGCAGGTGGCTAATTAGCTTGTACAACAAGAAGTGGGAGTGTAAAAGCTTCATAGAGTCATTACCAAGAGGGCTCTTCTCGATTTGTACCTGTCATCTTAGACTTTTGAGTTTTAATATTAGGTGATTGCCTCATAGTCACAAAATAGTTGCTGCCACTCCACATTCTGTACAGGAAAAAGACAGGCTTCCTTACCATCTGTGTTTTTATCACAAAGCAGAATCTTTTCTAGGCTCTTCCTTCACTTCCTTTTGGCCCACTGGAAGGACTCTTCCTATCTCATTAACCAATCTGGGGCCCTCCTACAACCCAGTCCAGTGGGGTTACAGTGCCTGGTGATTGGGTTCACTCTCTGGGATCTGTGTGACTGGCTCTGTGTATCCTGGAGTTGGAGATGTGACTCGCATAGGCTGGAAATGTAGTGGCCTCCACGCACACCATGAAGAATGGCCGGCTGGTCGTCAGCCTGCTTCTAAGCCTGCACTGCGTCCTGTCCACTTGGCCCTGGGTCATCAGAGCAGAGCCACCAGCTTGCATGGATTCCCTGCTCCCCTCGCCCCATGCCACCCATAGAAGAGGACACGACCCTGTTTGTCCCTTTAGGAGAGAAAACTCCACAGCCAGGCAACAGCTGCTGGCTTGTCCCCAAGGCCAACAGAGTCCAAGTGTTCTGGAGAGGCCAGGGGCAGAAACAGGTGCTGCCAGTGCCCTGGGGCAGGAAGGGGCTGGAGGGCCACCTCCTCCCACACAGCCCAAGATCAAAGCCAGCACCTGCACCCCTCCCAGCCAGTCCCTTCCTCTGGCCCCACACGGACTGACTCGACCTGTCAGAGTGGTTGGCTTTGCACTTGTGCCTGAAATACGGAAACAATGCCGGCAGGGGCTTTAGGGGTTTTTAAGTGTGACCGTTCTCTCCAATGCTGCAAAGCTCACTGGGAACCTTGCAGACCACTGTGACCCTGCCAGCAGGGGCAGGGGCGAGTGGACACGGGGCTCTCCATCTTCCACCAATGCGAAAGACGCCCGCAGGATAGATGGCGCCTGCCTCGACTTCCTCTTTAATTAAGACCGTCCTCTAATGACCCGGCAGAGCGCAGAGACGGGCAGTGTCGCAGGCTGCTGGGGCGGTGTGGGCTCTGAGAACAGCCCTACCCGTGATGCCCCCAATTACGCAACAGCTCACTAGTGCTGAAACTCATTCTTCGCAGATTTCAAACGCCTCCTTCCCTCCACCCTCCAGCTTGGCCTTCACACTCTTAATAAAACATTAAAACTCCCCGCTTCCCTGAAGCCTGGCTGCTCTGCTCCAGCTCCGCCATCCATCCATTTGCGTGGCGGTGGCTGTGGCGGGGCCCCGAGCTTGGGAGCCGGCTGTGATGTGGCCGTGTTCAAAGTGAGGGAACGCGGTGGCTCCTCACTGCCGGGGAGGCGCTGTGCCTGCCTTTTAAACTTGAAAGAGCAGCGGGCATCCTCTGAAACCGAACACAGTGTCGGAAAAAGGGTTTCTGTAAGGAAAAAGCCTCCTTCTCCGTGGAGATCAGGCCTCATTAGCACAGTGGGCCGGGCCTCGAGGGGAGGACGATAAACAGCGGCCGTGCCAAGCTGCTGTTTGCTCCGGAGCAGCAGCCCAGTGCGTGGCACAGATGCGGAGGTTCAGTCGCGTCCCCACCCCTAGGCTGTGTCCTCTGTACCACTGTGCAGGTGAGATGCTGGCCAACTTTGTCCCAGCCCCATCAGGCCCACTAGACTCTCCCGTCGCCCCGGGGGCTCCCCACATCCTGGTGCCTCCATCGACCCCTCTGCCTACAGCAGCCTGCAGCAGCCTCTGCTCACCCACCCTGCCCCTGGGCGATGCCCTTTGCCCATCTTTGAAGAGGATGAAGGATTTTGTCTACATCAGGCTTTTTCGACACCGCGAGGGCAGAGTCCAGAGGCAGGGGCCAGAGGTGGGAGCCACACGGTCCAGGCGGCTTATGTGGCTGAACTCTGGCTGCCCCGCCTCGCCCTCTGTGAGGGGCACGGGTGCAGGATGGAAGGAGACGGCAGAGTGTGGCCGTCACACTCACTCCTGCAGCTGGCACAGGCCGAAGCTGGCCACATCCAGCTTTCACTTGCGTGTGAGCCTGGGGATCCCAGGAACCTCTGAGCGGCGGGTCTCCATGCTCGAAGTGCTGGCTGGAGCACTCACCGAGGGCAGTGACAAGGCCACAGAAGGTGGGCCCAGGCACGGCACACAGGCTGCTGCTGGGTGTACCTGGAGCCTTCCATCACCTCTGCCCCTGTGAATACTGGGCAATGATCTGCCCTTCCGGCTCCCCAGCCCTGTGTGCTCCACCTTTGGGTGCCTTCTGCACACCTCCTCAGCTCCTGGACCAACCCTCAGGAAAGACAGGGTGAGGGGTGACCCTGGACAGCTGCATCTGGCTCTGACTTCACTGCTCACAGCTGCCACCCGGAACGTGTGGTTTCCTGGAGCTACAGCAGCAGGACTCAGGGCCAGCAGTGTGCTCAGTATGGCAACCAGTGATTTCTTCGGAAATCCCATGTGCAGCTCGAGTCCAAAGGCTGGCTGTGCAGGTGTGTGTACATGTGTGCACGTGTGTGCACGTGTGTGTATGCATGTGTGAGTCTGAGTTTTTTAACTTCTAAGCCTTGACATTGCCTAAAATTTTGCTGCTGCTGACCTAGGACTCTTAGCTAGGAGGGGGGTGAGAAGGGAGAGAGAGAAAGAGAAAGAGAGAGAGAGAGAGAGAGAGAGAGAGAGAGAGAGAGAGAAAGGAGCCTTTAAGCTCTGAAACAGTTGGCGCCTGGTCACCAGCTCCTGCACTGGTCACCATGACAGGCCTCACCTGGCCCAGCCACCTGTCCATGTCCCTGGACATCTGTAGACAAGGACACTGTTGCTCTGGATGCAACCACACCACAACACTTGCTCAGTGCTACACAAAGTCCCATCCTTGTCACTGAACAAGCCTCTCCTTGGGACTGGGCTCAAAGCCTGCACCCCTGAGCGTGGGTACCCGAGACGGCTGGTGAACCAGAAGCCCTGGGTCCAGCATGGCTTGCAGGCTTCAGACAGCCCTGCCGATGTCACCCTTCTGGTCTTCATGGAATCCCACACTGCATGTGTTGTTCAATGTCCTGAAATCCACAAATGGGAGTGCTACATGTCCTGCACACGTCGTGAGCATTTCTGTAGAGCAGTGCTGGGGGTCTGGGTGGGAACCGTGACAAACCAGTTTTACCTTGAGCCCCTGAAAAACCTTTATCCTGTTTTGATACACTGAAGCCATTCTGGATTCTTGAACTTGATCCCCAGCTGCCCCCTCCAGCTGGCTACGAGCACCTACATACCCGATGGTCAGCCTGACCCCACTGACTTGCACCCCAGAACAGCCAGCAGAGGTTGGGCTCATGTCATGCTTTTCCACAGCTGCCACTCATTTGTTAAGTATCTGATACAGGTGCAAAGTGCTAAGTGTGACATGGACAGGCAGGGTGTGACCAGTGGACAGCCGGGGTCATGCTGTGTCCCCACACACCACAGGGCTGTGCTCTGGGGCCCTTGTGGGTGGACCTGAGTGGGGCCACGTGTGCCCTGCACACCCGGGCCTCCTTCAGCTCTTACGGCTCCAGTGGTAGACCCCAGAGGGGCCAAGCACCAAGACAGCCCCGCTGTCCACTTCCCCGAGCTGACAACCCCTGTGCAGATGGCCACCCTGTCCAGGTCTGCAACCCAGTGTGTGCACTTGCCCCCACACTCAAGAGCTGCTCTGGACATTCTCCCACATGCTGCCTAAGTGTCACTGACCCCGCAGGTCAGCAGAACACGACTGCTGGGCTCCATTCTCCCCACTGGCCAGCTCCATTCTGCACAGACCTCACTGCAGGCGGACTCAGGCCCCCGGGAACCCACAGGGCAGGTCACCAGGGCTGTCCCCAAAGACGTGGGCCCCTCGGCCCTTTGTCCAGCTACCAAGAGTCACAGAAACAGTTCCACCTCATGCTGCCTGCACATAAACTCTGGAGCCCAAGGACTCCACCAGCCTCGCAACTGTCCCTCTGCAACAGCCCAGGCAGAGACAGCCAGGAATCTCTCATGGGCCGCATGCTAGGCTTGCCTGAAATCAGAGGGTGAACACTATCTCTATCCTCCCCGTGTGGAAAAGGAAACCTCACAGCGCACAAGGACTAGCCGCAAACTAAAGAGTGTCTTTTATTTTTAATAAAATAGTGGTGCATGAAAAATATCATATATTACACATATACACAGGCGGGGCCACCCTTCCTGGCCTGGTGAAGAGAATGTGCTAGACAAAGTTTGTCTTTCTGGCCTAGCACTTCTTGATTTATTCATGGAAATGATTTGTTTGACAATAGCAGGAGTCAATAAGCCCATTGGGTCCTTCTGAATGATCCTTCTCCCTTTACCCCTCCTTTCCACAAATCAGTCCAAACATGTACAACACTGGCTTGGTTTCCATTAAAAGCCACAAAATACAACGCTAAAGGGTTTCCGAGGCCAGGCCTCTTAGTTCTTTTGTTAGGAGAGTTCTTTTGTTGTCTCTATGTACAGCAAAATACTTGTTTCTCTTTTTATTTTCACGGAAAGAGAAGAAAAATGTATTGCACATCATTGGGGCCCGCAAATGTGAGGTTTGCGGGAGGTTCCTGGCTCGGAGAGAGGCCTGGTGCAAGGCTGGAGTCGATCTTGCAGACCCAGACTTACTGGAGCATGAAGACTCCCAGGGACCCCTTTGTCCCCGCACACCCTGTGATGCACCGCAGCCTGGGGTGGGCCAGGAGGTGCTGCTCCCCTGGGGAAGAGCGGATCCGGGTGCTGGCCAGGCCACACAGCACACAGAGGCAAGGGGAACAGTCTGGAAATGCTCTTCCCAACCCGAGCCCATAGCTGCACCCCAGAAGAGCAACATAAGCTGAGGATGAGGAGCCCCAGCCCAAGCACCAAGGAGAACCAAACCTCCTGAGAACACTTCTTGCTTTCTGAGTACATGGCATCCTGAATGTCAGGGTGAACACTGTTTCTTTATATATTTTTAAACTTTTATTTAAAAAAACAAAAAACAAGCAAAGCCCCTAGCGTGGGCTCCGCCTGCCCCGTCCCTGTCCTCTCCCCTCACACACAGGCAGGCGGTTGCATGGGGAGCTCGAACTTCCCCAGGTGTGGCTTTTGCGGGTGCTGGGCTTTCTTGTAAACGCCCCCGCTGGTGAGGACGCTGGCCGGCTTCCTGCGGCTCTTCCTCTTCAGCCTGCGGCTGCAGACCTGCTGCCAGGACTGCAGGGTCTTGGAGGTCCAGATCCACACCCCGCTGGTGATGCCCACCACCAGCAGCATGGAGACCTTGACCATGAAGATCTCCACCGCGGGGATGGAGGCGGCCATCAGGCAGTCCAGCGTCCTGGTCTGGTTGTCCATGCGGCACCTGTGCTGTGCGGCCAGCGCCTTCCAGTGCTCTGTATTGAGGCACTCGTAGCAGTAGCAGGCGATCACACAGGTGGCCGGCACGGTGTACAGCACGGAGAACACCCCGATGCGCACCATGAGCTTCTCCAGCTTGTCTGTGTTCTCCCCGCCCGTCTTCATCACCCTACGGATGTGGAACAGGGCCACGAAGCCCGACAGGATGAAGGACGTGCCAACGACCAGGTAGCAGACCAGCGGCACCAGCACAAAGCCTGTGAGGGCGTTCGCATCCATGCTGCCCACGTAGCACAGGCCCGTGAGCTCATCGCCCGCCACCCTGCGCATGACCAGGATGAGGATGGTCTTCACCGCTGGGATGGCCCAGGCCGCCAGGTGGAAGTAGCTGCTGTTGGCTTCGATGGCCTCGTGGCCCCACTTCTTGCCTGCGGCCAGGAACCAGGTGAGTGTGAGGACCACCCACCAGAGCGAGCTGGCCATGCCGAAGTAGTAGAGCACCAGGAAGACCAGCGTGCAGCCGGTGCTCTCCAGCCCTTCCTGGATGACATACAGCTGGCCACTGTCCCTGTCGCAGGCGATGCTCTCAGCCCCCGCGAAGAGTCGGATGATGTAACCCACAGAATACACGCAGTAGCACACGGACAGGAAGATGATGGGACGCTCGGGGTACCTGAAGCGCGCGGGGTCGATGAGGAAGGTGAGTACGGTGAAGGAGCTGGAGAAAAAGCAGAGCACAGCCCACACGGCCAGCCAGACCACAGCGAAGCGCTTGTCGGCGCGGCTCCAGTACACGTCCACGCCCGGCATGCACAGCGGCGCGCACGACGCGCTCTTCTCCACGCGGTGGAACTTGCCCGGGTTGTCGCAACCCACGCGTGCCGCGGCGCCGTCCTGAGCCGGGTGCTCGTGCGCGCCGCCGCCAGGGGGACGCTGCGGCCGGGAGAGAGGTGGGAAGAGGCCGGCGCCGCGGGTGGGCTCGTCTGAGCCATTGCTGGGCGCCTCCATACACAGATAGTTGGGGTCGTTCTGACTTGGCAGCCGGCCGCAGTCCAGCGAGTCGGGCCACCTGAAGTGGAACTGCTCCATGATGGGCGAGCACTTGAGCCGGGCCTGCTCGCACATGACGCGACAGGCGGGGATGGGCGCGGAGACCTGCTCGGTGCACATGGGCGCGTAGAGCGAGCACAGGAAGAAGCGCAGGTGGCCGTGGCAGCCGTACTCCACCAGCGGCGCGAACTCGTGCAGTCGGATGGCCGCCTCGCGCTGGTTCTCGTGGCCCATCAGGTTCGGCATGCGCGTGCGG